AAAAGCCTGTAGTATACCTGGCAAAACAGTAGCTTGGAAGCTTAATGTTATTAGATCAAGTCTGAGGGGAAAAAAGTGGTGGAGAAGACTGTATCAGCATAAAGTCTGCTACAGAAAAATAAAAGAATAAAGTCACATGAGCAAAAAGGCTGTTCAGGAGTAAGGAGACTTACTCCTCTAGATATTAGCAAGCTTATTAATTACTGGATTGCTGACATTTGTCATCCTTGTGGCTCCAATGTAAGAGCAATATAAAAACTTTTAGAGTGAAGAAAACTGTGTATATGTCCCCTTTTACTAAAAGTATTTTTCTAACTCCCTTCCTCTTCCAAAACAAATATGTACATGATTGAATTTCTAGAAAACAGATGCTCTCAAACACTTCCACTTTCTATTAAGGAGGAAGTACTGTAAGAAAAGAAAAGGCAATTCCCCCCCCCACTCCCCTAGACACTGTAGCAGATTCTTTCACTCTAGGGACCCCACAGAGAGAAAGGGAACAGGACATCTGAACAGCAGATTTAACAGGCATCATTACTCTTCCATTGCACTACAGCATTCAGTCAGATACCTGTTTTTGGATCCTAACCACAGGTTAGTTCTAGTCAGCTCTATCAAATGATCTCTCACAATCCTTAAGTTCCAGCAGCTTACACTTAGTCCCACTGTGCTTGTAGCAATCACCACAGACCACACTTTACTAATCACAATGCCGTATCAAGACATTTACATCATCATTTACATAATCTTTTTAGTATACTTTGAGGTAATATGCTCCAGTCATCCAAGCTTACAATAACATAAGAACTGTCACCCCAATTAAACATTAAGACAGATATAGATATGTAACTCAAAAATTTCTGAGTGGCCACTGCTGAATGCTACCAGAAGGTTAAGAAAGCCTACAGTGAGCAATTATGTAATTACCTGCTCATTACAGAAGTCTTCTTGTAATCCTCTAACAGGCAATTAGTGGTTGGTTTATACCTTAAAGCACACCAGCTTCCCTTCCTTAAAAAGCTTTCACCATTTCTAATATAATCACCTAAAGTTACTAGGTGCAGCTAGTCACAATCCCTGGAACTCTACAGCAACGTAAGCACTCTTACAATCACTATTTTTTTCCTCCTTTTTTCACTGTACATGGACAGCTGTAGGCAACAAGACCATGGGAAAGATCAAATGTGCATGTATTTCTTTTCCCTACTATCCAGAAAGAATTCAAGTAGCCAATTAACAATGAACTCTACTCCAGCAACAACAATCTCTGAAATAAAGCTTTCTGAGCCCTGTCAGGTTTTTATTTATCTCATTTTATAACTGGCTAACAGAAATGAGCCAACAGATTAAATTTTACTAATATCAGTTAGACACAAATCATTATTAAAATAAACTAGCTTGGAACTTTCCAGCTTCCCAAAAACATCTGGGTTAGGAGGTATGTTTGCACAGAGCCTCCAAAGGCAGACTGAGGTGGCAGCACACAGGCAGACACTCAGAGCTCCCACAGATCAGCAGCCAGACATCCACAAAAACAATGCTCGAGTTGTTCTGGTTTCATAGAATCATAAAATGTATTGAGTTGGAAGGGACCTTTAAAGATCATCTAGTCCAACCCTCCTGCAGTGAGCATGAACATCGTTACTAGATCAGGTTGCTCAGAGCCCATCAAGCCTGACCTTGAATGCCTCCAGGGATGGGGCCCTCCACCACCTCACCGGGCAACCTGTTCCAGTGATCTATCACTCTCATGCTGAAGAACTTTTTCCTAATATCCAACCTAAATCTACCCTTTTTCAGTTTAAAACCATTACCCCTTGTCCTATCACTACATGCCCTGGTGAACAGTTCTTCTCCAGCTTTCTTATAGGCACCTTTCAGGCATTGGAAGGTCGATATAAGGTCCCCCTGGAGCCTTCTTTTTTCCAGGCTGAACAACCCCAACTCTCTCAGCCTGTCTTCGCAGGAGAGGTGTTCCAGCCCTTTGATCATTTTTGTGGCCCTCCTCTGCACACGCTCCAGCACTTCAATGCCCTTTTTGTTTTGGGGACTCCAGAGCTGGACACAGTACTCCAAGTGAGGTCCCACCAGAGCAGAGGGGCAGAATCACCTCCCTCATCCTGCTGGCCACGCTTCTTCTGATGCAGCCCTGGATGCGGTTGGCCTTCTGGGCTGCAGATGCACATTGGTGGCTCATATCCAGCTTTTTATCCACTAGTATCGCCCAAGTCCTTCTCCTCAGGGCTGCTTTCCAGCACATCATCTCCTAGCCTGTATTGGTAACAAGGATTGCTCCTACCCAGGTGCAGGACCCTGCATCTGGCCTTGCTGAACCTCATGAGGTTCACCTGGGCCAACTTCTCCAGCTTGTCCAGGTCCCTCTGGATGGCATCCCTTCCCTCCCAATCCCTTCCCATTGTAGAAAGCCACACTTGTTAAGACTGTCAAGCATCTACAGCTCCCCTGAGCATGATAAGAATTAGAAATTCAGGGCTTCCCCCTCCTCTCTCATCAACTCAAATGCTTTAACACAAACAAAAGATTTGGTGGAGTTGCTTATGAAGCTGCAGTATACAATAATTGGTGATAGTGCAAATGTATCTTTGCTTATGCGTGGCAGTACTGCAGGCCAACACAGATTTGCCAATAGGTCAGGATGCCAAGGCAGATACATCAAATGCAGACATAGACCCACACTCTGAGAAAGGAGTAATTCACCTCTGTCCACTTTCTAAATGTTGAGGCTTTGTAGTAATTAAAGCCTTTTAAGGAAACAGAAGTAATAGGACAGACAGCAACCAACAAGCACAGCTTTTTCAAGAGTCACAGACCTAGTGAATGGAGAGCCTACATGAAACAAATTTTCAACTAAGCTGTCATGCTGTTTAAGTTTCCACTGATCGAACATAATCGCAATCAATGTAAGCTGTATTTAGCAACAGCTGTTTACTACTCTTTGTGGCACATGACCCATGCTCATTTATAGCTTTGTGCAATCTTAGCTTCCTCAGCAGCTCACCCACTACTCCAGGGTGTTGTGCTCAAGATTAACATCAACATGCTCTGCCAAGGACAGGAGCCTTTAAACACACTCCAACTTCAAGCAAAGTTGTGCATAATCAGTGTTTGCCAAACTTTAGCAGAATATCTGTCTTCAGAGGATTTCTAAAGACACTGCCAGTGAAGCCCACTTTTGGCCATTCCAAAATCCCTTCATAAGCTGCACTAGTGGAAATGGCATTGCACGTAGTTTGCACTACACTTCAACCAGCGTATTAGTCAGGAATCACACACAGTCAATATAACCATGCTATAAAAAGAATCCCTAACGTAGAAACAGCTCAAATATTCTTTAGCTAGGATAGCTTACACTAGGCCCTTAAAGTTACCAGACAATACTGGAAAAACATCAGTGTAGCTGCAGCTGCTCCTACACGGCAGTGTCTGCTAATTTACCAGCTACACACATTACAGGCCTCTTCTCCCCTTCTCCTGAACCATCCAAGGTACTTTACTGTAGTCAAGTATAAATCAGAAATATACACGAGAGCCCATAGCGGGTTTAAGCAGCTAAGATAAACTAAATTCACTAAGTCAGCCTTTGTACTTATTTTGACATAATTCATTACATTCTTGTTCCAGTATTTTTCCCCCAAGGTGCTACATCCTAGCAGTAAGATAGCAAGAGAAAGATTATTCCGGAGTCATATTTTGAGTTGACACAGCCACAACTGGAAGACAAAGCCAGATTAGGTGACAACTGTACACAAAGAGGGTATTTTTTTTTGTTTGGTTGGGGTTTTTCGTGGGGTTTGGGGGGTGTGTGTGTGCGCACGCAGATTTTTGTCAGATTTTTTAAACCTCTCTTTTCTTTCCTTTCATCCTTTTACAAAATCAGTCTAGCACTTGCTTTCTACAAAGCAAGTCAAAATGATGGATCCTGCAACAGGCTGTCACGTGCATTTTTCTACTTACAATACTTACTGAAGCAATACTTATTTTTCATTTGGTTAATAAAGTAAATACTCTACTAATTCCATGTGCCTTTCTCTCCTCCAACCTCTCCTCCAGGGTTTAATAATTAGGGATGAAGAATTTGACTTTTTTTTTTCCTAACTTTGTCATCTATACATTACCACCCACCAACGTAGCATGCGTGACAAACAAGAATAAAGCTGTAAGGTAACTACTAGTCTCAGCTAAAATATTTGCTATACCTTTGTTGACTTGCTTAGCAGCCAGCATTTAAGATGTCAACTTGAGAGCATTACATAGCAATAACCCTTTAAAGCCAGCGTTGCTTGTAAAAAGTGCAAATTATCTCTGGCACATAGCTGACTATACAATGACTACTGCATAAGTTTTGAAGTGTCAAATCTTATTAATACCAGAAAATCTCTTGTAGCTTGACATAGATCTAGCATTTGTGTTTCTATTTCTGCTTGGAAGAGGAGTTCTTGTAACAGAATAAATAGTGAAATATATTCGTTACTGCAGCTAGAATTAAGGCTTATCAGGCTCTCCAAGATGAGCAATTTTCAGGAGCCCAGATTACCAGATTTCAAACAACTTTAAAAGTACTTTATAGAATGTTTTGCTGATAATTCTACAGTCTCTCCCATGAGACAAACAATATCTGCTCCAGAATTGCTTAGGAATAGTTTGCATTTATCACTGCTACTATTATTACTTGCACGTGTGATATTAAAAGCTACAATGCCACCTGCTGGCTTAGGAGTCTCACGCTTTTCTTGTTTACACTTTCCTGGTTACAGTGCAAACACCAAGAATAAAACACCAGTATCACCCTGTACACTCCGTTCTTTTAAGACCTATAGCACCATTTTGTATTACAGCAGAAGTAGCCTTCTAAGTCTTACCAACCAAGATATGTGCTATGTACACTATCAGATATACACCATGTAACACAAGATGCGAAATCCGAGCTCTAGAAATCAGTAGTCAAAATCAAGAACTCAAACTTAACACACAGAATTTACCTATGAAAGGAAAGCCACTTGACTCCTTCACACAGTACAACTCCTGAAGTCATAAGCAGTTCTGCAAAGTACTGCGTCTCAATTCCTTCTTCCTCATGCTTTTTAAACTGGATGCCAGATGTAGTCAACAGTTCAATAGAGTCCTGCGCATACATATCTTCTCTGAAAACAGGGAAAGGAAAAGCAAATTTTCAATACGCAAACCTCAATGATTAAAAACCTGGTAACATTTCTTTTTTGCTATTCATTCCACAGACACGATTAGCACAGAGCAGTAACAACTTGACTTAGTTCTGTGTCAGTTACCATTTTTCATAGCTTTTATTAACCTTCACTAGCATTTCGCGATTCCCAGCACCTCCACTCTTGCCTCCTTCATAAAAACCTAGTTTCTGCTCCTCTTCTGATTACTTAGAACTCCCTTTTTGTGAACATACAGAGGAAAGCGAATGTTTGAATACACTTTACCGAATGAGATCTATTACTTAGACTGTGCCAAATTAAATATAACAAGTTGAAGCCCTAACATCTATTAGATTACAGAACTAGAAACGACTCCAAATCCCAGTGCTGCTGTTAGTTCCATAGATGTTTTCCAAGCATATCTTGAGATTTAAGCTTACATAAACGTTCAGACATGCTTATCAAAACTTCCTACTCACTACAAATGGAAATACTTGTTCCATCTTATCAATCCTTAAAATTTCGATAGCCTAACATTTTCTCTCTAAATGAACAACTTCAACTTTTCTTCAGTAGCCATATTTTGGACATAAAATTTAACAGGAGAGAAAAAAACTTCCTCTATGCCTTGACTCCTTATCCCTGTGTTTCTTCCCTTTACCACTAACATTTTTGTAAACTCTTAGGTATTTTGTGATTAAGTGGATCGTTTGCTTTTTTCCTAGAGTTTAATACACATCATCACAACAAAGACAAAATGGTTAGCTGAAAAAAAACCCTCAAATATTGCTTTACTGAGATGATGATATCATTATTACTGTCCACAACATACTATTCTACAAAGACTCTTCAGTGTATAGTTTTAAATTTTAATAAAAAACAAAATGCAAACAAAAAAATAAAACAGACAAGATAAGCAATATATCGAGCTTGACTCCGATTCAATAGTAGACTTATATTCCTTATTCCTAATAGTTAGTGATCATTTTTCAGAACATAAATATAACTTCAAGATGTGTTGCATCTTTTTTCCTCCTTCCCACACAGCTGCTCATTAGTTCTCTAGCTTTAAGGCATCAGTTTCCCAACACCTGTCCATTTCCATAAAACATTAAAGAACCCATCCAAAACAAACACGCCTATTTTACAGTAAGTAATTTAAATTCTAATTTGTTACTCTGCACTAATCAGGTGAATAGTTAGTTTAGAGAAATACTTATGCTTTTCAAAAGCGCACTGTAACAAGACCCAGCTGGAACCATACACACAAAAAAATGACCTTCTAGGAACAGCCACCAGCTGTTTTGCTTTAGGAGCAGAACTCTTGGCACAGTGCCACCTCCCAAAAGGAAGTTTAGGAACAGATAAAAATAAGTCATTTCTCTACCCCACTGAAAAAAAAAAAAACCAAACATGTTTCATGCAGCACTTAGCTACCTCACATTTTGTATAAAATTTCCAGTGAACTACTAACAAGTTTAAGTGCCTACCTAGATCTTGCCTTACTAAGCTGTCTTATCTGTGCAAGATCTGGCACAAACGGATGGAAAACTACTTTTGATATCAGCCATTTGATATTAAGATCTTCAAAGCTCAGAAGTTGAATAAAACATAACGCAGGCTCTTCCTCCCAGACCCCAGTTTGGAAGTTACTAATGCATTCCTCCTCCTCTTCCTCTCATATTTAGCAGGATTAATATATTCCTCTATTAAGACAACAGATAACTTCCATCCAGCACTTACATGGCCAGGTAAGTTTAGAGATACCAAAGATCAAATCTGCACTTCCTTTTCTTTCAAGAGGTGCTTCAAACAAAACTAAAAAGAGCATGTCATTCCTCCTACCACACTGACCTGCGACAAGCCATGGCACTGCTTGTTTAGAAAAGCAGAAGGACCAAGAGATAGCAGCAGGGTTTTTTTCCTTTGGAAGAGCCCTAATTACTTTCAAAACAAGTCTTTCTAGCTACAGAAAAAAAAAAGTCTGTTCTTTAAACCTCCTTTGTAGGCTGCAGTTTTAACTCAGTTTTAGCTGTCCAGTTATCAGCTTGTAACACAGCTGCCAAAAAACCCCAAGCCTTTAAGCTTGAGAAGTGTTTGCACTGATATTCAATTAAGGGCCATATGAGAACCTATTGGACCAATTATGTTTACTTCAGGAAAAAATTCACCATACCAGTAGCTTTGTCAACTACCTGCTAAAGATATAATTATAACTCTGCATGAGTGTCTCATCCCACTGGAAAAGTTAGCTTTATACCTAAAGGTTTATCCCCGATAAAAATCACATTCTGAAATAAAGGCCACAATATGATTCCAACCAGTTATAAAAAAAAAAATCAGTGTGTTTTTTAACCAGCACTTAAGATAATCCAGAACAGAAATCTCCTCAGCAGTTATGCTGTAGAATCAATAATCCCTTTCAACCTATTATAAAAAAAATTAAATACAGCATTTTAATAGAATAAGTTGCTTTGAAAACAAAAAAAGCTGCTGCAATATTAAAGTTAACAGTATTTTATCAAGAACATTATCTAAAACATGTGAGCTTTTTAACAAGGATAACATTACTATAAAGAGGACAGAACACACCTGCTTTAAAACTTACTGCTAACATTTGTCATACTTTTTTTTAGTCACTCTGGCAACTTTACGGTTTTTTTCTTTGTGTCTTCCATTTAAAAATATGCAAAGGAACAACATGAGACTTCTATAACAACTAGTGAGAGTTAAACTAAGTTTAGGCAGAAGCACTTTGAAATGCTACATATGAAAATGCTGACCTAACTCTAAGTATAATCTAATTAAAGTATAAATGCATCTTTTAAAAACTTTTGTTGGAACTGTTTAGCATTTTTGACAGCGCACAGAAGTGAGGGAAGAAAGCACGTGGTTGGCTGACAAAAATTTTTGTTACAAAGTATCAATGGAATTCCAATCATATAGATAAAAAGAGTTTTTACAGCTTTCACAACCTATAATACATTTTCAGTAACAATAAGTCATAAACGTACATTCAGTAGTACAGACATTTAACACTTACGTTAAATTAAATTTAAAATTAAATTGCCAAGTTGAAGTTCCTGGAGGGTATTCTCCTTGCTCATTCATAAATGTTAGTCCTAGTTGAATTATTTTTAGCAAGTCTACATTGCAGCGTAATAACTGGTACTGATAGTCTGCGTTGCTTCTGAATTCTCCAATAGGCCTTGCAACTACTCCTGGAAATTCAGTATCCTGTAAGAACAGAATTAAAACTTCAACAAAAGACACCCACAAAAACTTACATTGCTCGTTTTTCATAAAACATATTTCAAACATCTAATAGTTTCATAGCTGAAGAGTATTGTATGTAAATTTTACTTTTTAAAAGGTAGTAGACTAGAGTCCTAATGTTTATACACCTGTAATTCAACATTAGGAATCCATTATTCTTTCAAAGAACATGGATAAACAAGTTTATAGCTTTAATTTACTAACACCAAAATATCATTATGTTCTTCGTAGTAATTTCCTAGATAAACATCAAGTGCCCACTTACCATAGCTACATAGTTATACTTCCGTATAACTTGACGAATTTTCTTCATCTCTTCATCCAAGTTACAAGCCCAAACTTCACAGATTCTTTGGCTATGGTCTACGGTGGCTGCTGGCATAGTGGGGGGCTTTAAAGACCATACATCAAAACTTACACTTGACTGAGGATCGGTTTCATAAAGAGAACTTTATTTATTGTTAACCTAAAAGACAAAGAAAGTAAAGTATCAAGTGTCAGTTTTTATCCTTCACTTATCTGAAAAAAGCTTAAACACCAGAATCAAGCTTCACTCTTCAGAATTTCATAAAAGAAGCACAACACAGCCATCATAACCATGTGAATTTCAGCTATGTGAGTTTAGGTTGCTATCCAGAACTACTACCCTAGGATTCTGTTAGTAACTTTCTTGCACAAAGCCAGGCAAACCAGCAAGGCGCACTAGTTCAACAGATAAAAAGAGATACCTGAGCCCACAAGCGTTATTCCCTCACGGGTTAGAAGAGTACATTCCTGTGGATCCCACGGCTGCGTGCAACATGAAACGAAGCGGCAAAGTGACCATTAGGGTTACGCCAAACTCGGGGACGCTGCAGACGACCAAAGAGCCGCGCCGGCGGGCAGCCTCCCTGGGCAGGGACAGCTCTTTCAGCTCGTCCGGGCCGCGCTAAACCAGAGGCTGGTGCGAGAGGACCGAAACACAGCCCGACACGCTCGGACTGGCCCTCCCAGGCGCCTCCTGATATGTACGAGGTCGTAAGAGCGCCCTGAAGAGCCGCAGAGCCCACCCAACGCGGCAGGCAGCGCCCCTTGACAGGGGGCAACTCGGAAGAGGCCGCCCCACCTTACTCCCTTCCCCC